GGTAAGACTTTCACTTATCTTAAAATGGCTGCACAACAACAAGAACTAGATGAGAAGAACCCATTCTATGAGTTAGTGTCATTTGTAGTACTTCTGGTCAATTTGACCAAACCGTCAATTCGTTCAAAGATATTATAAAAAAGTCTAAGTTAGTATGTATAAAAGATACTGAGTTGTTAGATTGGATAAAGAAGTACCAAAGAAGAGTTTTGAAGTACAATGCTATAAATGAGTATATAAATTCTAAGTTTAAAGACCCAAATGAGGAAATGCAGAGAATATTAGAGAAGAAACACTTCAGAAACAAACAGAAAGAGATAGAATACATTTCGAAGAAATTGCAATCTTACGATTGGAAGACTTACCCTCATAGATGTCTTCTTATCTTAGATGACTTTGCTTCTCATCCTTTGTTAAAGAATAGAGAACAAGACATGTGTCGAATTCTTAAGAAGCTCAGACACTTTAACATCTCAGTTGTCATTTGTGTACAGACAGCCAAGAGTTTAAGTAAGGATGTAAAGAGAATACTTACTGACATTGTACTTTTCCCTGGATTGTCCCGAAGACGATTCATGGAACTTATGAAAAAGAGTCCATGGCAGGTAAGTTTGACAGACATGAACTATGGGAGAAGTACAAAGTCATACAAGACCCTCATACTTCTTTCAGAATTCATATCTACGCGAACAAAGTTCAAATTGTAAAAAGTCAAGCTTGAAAAATTAAATGTTTAGTCTTAGTAAGTCTGTTGTGGTGCTGGGGTTGTCGGTTCTTCTGGCTTTGGAAGGCATTCAGGAAGAGGAACGTCAGTCATCCGTTTGTGTCTTAACCGTCTTTGTTCTGAAACAATATAATATTGTCTTGAATAAGTACAATATTGTCTTGAAAAAGTACAATATTGTCTTGAAAAAGTACAATATTGTCTTGAAAAAGTACAACATTGTCTTGAAAAAGTACAACATGTTCTGAAAAAGTACAACATTGTTCTGAAAAAGTTCAAGACTTGTTCTGAAAAAGTACAGCCGTACTCAAATTTGAGAGACATTGTACTGAATTTATACAACATTGTTCTGAAAAAGTACAACATTGTTCTGAAAAAGTACAATATTGTCTTGAAAAAGTACAACATTGTCTTGAAAAAGTACAACATTGTCTTGAAAAAGTACAATATTGTCTTGAAAAAGTACAACATTGTTCTGAAAAAGTACAAGACTTGTTCTGAAAAAGTACAGCCGTACTCAAATTTGAGAGACATTGTACTGAATTTATACAACATTGTTCTGAAAAAGTACAATATTGTACTGAATTTATACAACATTGTCTTGAAAAAGTACAACATTGTCTTGAAAAAGTACAATATTGTCTTGAAAAAGTACAATATTGTCTTGAAAAAGTACAACATTGTCTTGAAAAAGTACAACATTGTCTTGAAAAAGTACAAGACTTGTTCTGAAAAAGTTCAAGACTTGTTCTGAAAAAGTACAGCCGTACTCAAATTTGAGAGACATTGTACTGAATTTATACAACATTGTTCTGAAAAAGTACAATATTGTACTGAATTTATACAACATTGTCTTGAAAAAGTACAACATTGTCTTGAAAAAGTACAACATTGTCTTGAAAAAGTACAACATTGTCTTGAAAAAGTACAACATTGTTCTGAAAAAGTACAAGACTTGTTCTGAAAAAGTACAGCCGTACTCAAATTTGAGAGACATTGTACTGAATTTATACAACATTGTTCTGAAAAAGTACAATATTGTACTGAATTTATACAACATTGTCTTGAAAAAGTACAACATTGTCTTGAAAAAGTACAACATTGTCTTGAAAAAGTACAATATTGTCTTGAAAAAGTACAACATTGTCTTGAAAAAGTACAAGACTTGTTCTGAAAAAGTACAGCCGTACTCAAATTTGAGAGACATTGTACTGAATTTATACAACATTGTTCTGAAAAAGTACAATATTGTACTGAATTTATACAACATTGTCTTGAAAAAGTACAACATTGTCTTGAAAAAGTACAACATTGTCTTGAAAAAGTACAATATTGTCTTGAAAAAGTACAACATTGTCTTGAAAAAGTACAAGACTTGTTCTGAAAAAGTACAGCCGTACTCAAATTTGAGAGACATTGTACTGAATTTATACAACATTGTTCTGAAAAAGTACAATATTGTACTGAATTTATACAACATTGTCTTGAAAAAGTACAACATTGTCTTGAAAAAGTACAACATTGTCTTGAAAAAGTACAACATTGTACTGACTCAGTATGGAGCTTGACCCCTTAGACGAAGCAATTTATCTAATTGAAATTAACGAGCTTGTTAAAGACTTCCTCAGGCAGAATGTAAAGGTCAAGCGTAAAAATAAAGATTGAAATTTACCCTACTTGTTTGAAGTTGTCGAAATACTCTGTTATTTTTTCCTTTAACAATGGCAAATCTTCTTTGAAGGTAAGTATTGTACAACCTTTCATATCATAGTGTGTTTGAGGTAACGTATCTTGAACTATCTGTTTAACATCTTCATTCGGTGTCATTGAAATCGGTAAGTTTTCGCGATAGAACCAATTTCTGTCAGATTTGTAAATCTTAGCAAGGTCGTAAAAGCTTTTGTTGTTTCTTCTGACTAAATGCAACATAACCATATCTCTGTCTTCTTCATTTTCCATCTCTTCAGTATAAATCATATACTTATAGTTCTTTTCCTTTCCTTTTGGTACCGAACGTGGTATTCTTTTCTGTATGGTTTTGTCTTTTGCTTCAATGACTTCATCTTTTGCTTGAAGTTTCTTTTCCATCTCTTCACGTTCTTGTCTATGAATTTCGTCAAGAAGTCTTAAATATACCATGAATACGAGGTGAAGCCCACATTGCACAGCATTTACAAGAAGTCTATGAACATAATATCCTCTCAAACCATTTGGCAATTTTTCACGATTTTCATAGAGTTTTGGCGACTGCGGTTTTTCTCCCACTCGCTGTTCTTCACTGTTTTCATAGAGTTTTGGCGACTGGGGTTTTTCTCCCACTCGAGTTTTTGCGACTACGAGAAAATCCGTAGTCGAATTTTCAGCTTCATTTAATAGTTCAATAGTGCTTTGGTTCCTAAACCAGTCTTTAGGAAGCTTGGTATCTGGCGCAAAACATGCTGTCAAAATACTTTGCATTTGGTACATATCGTCTTTGACCGAACGAATGAGACGTAACTGTTTGTTATACTGTAACTCGTATTCTTCATTTATAGCTTCATGGACTATAACTGTTGTTGTGTTCTCTGTTGTTGACATATCTGTCTTTACATACAAAATAAAAAAAAAAAAAAAATAAAATTAGCGCTATTTTCTATCTTGTATAAAAGACCAAAAATAAACGCTTTACATGTATTTTTCAGCAACTTCGTCAAATAATTTTATAGCTTTATCTATCTCATCTACTTCAAACGTTTCCCTACCTTTCGTGGGAGCACCATACATCTTCTCAAACTTTTCAAGTAGTTCTGTTTCAGCAGCTCTCATATCGTTAACGAACGCAACCTTAACTCTATTGACTATATTGTCATATCTTTGAGTTATATTAAATGTTCTTCCTATCTTATATCTCTTTGTATTGAAGTCCTTTGGTTTCTGAACGATGTAAAGTAAGCCTTCACTGCAACGTTCCGTATCGAATGAACCATATGTTATGAAATTATATCCAACAACTGGGTCAATCCAGAACAAAACTACTGGTATAAGACTTTTGTCGATGAGATATGCTCTTGTTCCATAGAATCTTACCGATATCATAAGCTCAGGATTTTTTGTCAAAATTTTCTGAGTAGAAGCATTTTTAACCCAGTCGTGTGCTTTCTTTCCTTCAGATAGTGTTAAAATGTCTGACAAAGAATATTTTTTGTATTTCTTTGAGTATCTTACGTTTAAATCACCTATTCTAACCACCTTGGTCTCATTGTCTATCTTTTTAACTGTTTCAAACTCAGTGTTTGACATTTCCTGTTCTTACATACAAAATAAAAAAAAATATTTTAAAAAAACTAGCTTTTATTTTATTTTGTATAAAAGATACAGTTATATCATGAAATTTGGTCATTTTTTTACGATTTTCATGTGTTTTAGGCGTTCCTCGGTTTTCCGCGGGTCGCAATTTTTTACGATTTTCGAATGGAATCTCTATCCTCGGTTTTCCGAGGGTAGCAAACATATGAGGAAATTCATGAAATTTGTTGCTGAATTCAATAAAAATATATTTTAGGGTAGAAGGGTATATCTACCCCGTTTTCTACCCTCATTTCTACCCCATATGTCCTTACTGAAAAAGTATGTGTTCCATATGTCATTTTACTCAGAATTTTATACAGAATTCAATAAAAATATATTTTAGGGTAGAAGGGTATATCTACCCCGTTTTCTACCCTCATTTCTACCCCAGTTATTTTACAAGCGTTTTACATGGTATATGTTGTGATGGTTCATGACTTTAAACAGTTTTGTAGCTTCTATTTCTTCACGAAGGATATCAAAAATTTTAACTATGCCGAAGGTTTCTTTATATTTCTTCTTGACATCTGAAAGAAGGAAATCGTTAGCAGTTGGATAGTTTTTGTTCAGAAATGTCAACATGTCCATTTTATCTTCTGCTGGTTTCTCTACTTCTTTCTTTAAGTCAGTATGGTCTTTTCGCATACGTTCTATCTCTTTGACGGAGTAGTTATATTTCCTTGTTGCTGCTTTACATTTTGAACATTGTGAGTTCATTTTTGCGTTATATTCTGAAATTTGTCCTGCTAGTATGACTAAGGCGTAGATGGTTTTCTTTAACTCAAAAGTTGCGGGTTTTATCTGTTCATTCCATATCTTACCTCTTCTATCTTTATCTCTTATCTGCAAGACACACTCAGCAACTAACGAAACAAAGTTGTCGTAGGTCTTAAATTCTTCAGATTTATATATGTCAATGACTTTGTGGTTGCAATGAAATCCAAGAAACTCATAGTTTATCTTACGAATGAACTTCTTTATTTCAACTGAGTCAGTCAGTCTGACTTCAATTTCATCGAATTCTGGAATAGTGAGCTTTTGTTGTTGTATTTCAGGAAGTTTAGGTAGATGGTCAATAATATCCTGCATTTCATAAAGATACTGTTCATTTGTTTCATCTTTTGCACTACAGTCTAAATCTCCTTGGAGAAGTTCCTGCTTTATCTTCTGGATTTCTGTTTCGAAAGTATATGAAGAAGGAATGAAGCTTTTCATCTCTACTAACATAGAAGTTGGGTTCATGACTAACGAGTTTGGTGCTGTTGTTGCTGACATGTTCTTACAATAAAAATAAAAAAATATTTTTTGGTGGGACTACCTTTATTTTATTTCAGCACAAAATGAACGAGTTTGGTTTAAAAATACGGTGGAGCCAAAAATGGCTCGACCTCAAAACAAGCATTTTGTGAAGAATATACCAACCCGCGGAAAACGGCGGGTTGCTTTTTTTATACAAAATTCAAGAGTTTTGTGTGTTTTCTACGAGGGTAGAAAAGAGGGTAGAAAACGGGGTAGATATACCCTTCTACCCTAAAATATATTTTTGTCGAAAAAAAATGGTTCATTTACTCACAATATTTTTGTACAAAACGACCCCAAACTTTTAACTTCTTTTCTGCAGCTTCTAATGAAATTTTAGCGAGTTCATATTCTCTAAATTCTCTCTTTAAATCTTCTTGTTCCCATTGGTCTAGTTCGTATGGAGAGTCCCTATAACCAGAACATATCTCACGTTCATGTTCTATTTGTTTTTCATGCATTTTTCTAACTTCTTCTTCGAACAAAGGTTTAGCATTCTCTACTGTATCTTCAAGTTCTTCTTCATCTAATTTCTCATGAACTTTCTTGTCTATGGAGTCCAAAATTTTTCCAACTGCTATACAATATTTTGGAGAAGCCCACATTGCTATATAGTTTACAAGTCTTGGGTCTACATACGTTCCTCTAACCTGTTTGATTTCATCGGGAATTCCTGCATGAACTGTGTATAAAAAGCAACCCGCGGAATTCCGCGGGTTGGTATATTCTTCACAAAATGCCTCAAAATACTCTTCCCAGGACTTATTTTCCAACAACCTTCTAAAGTCTTTCCTAAACTGCTGACACATCTTTGTTGCATTTATATAACCATCCTTGTCTCTACGTAAGACTTCAATACCGTTGTAAGTGCCTTTTGTGAATGTTTCGCCATTAGATTTGTTCGTGAACGTTTTTGCTTCGACTGTCATACTGTTCTTACAATAAAAATAAAAAATATTTTTGGCTTAACCGTCGGACATTCGTTTGTGGCTTAACCGTCGGACCACAACGATAAAAATCTCATTTTAACTCACTTTTTTTCTATCTTAAGGAAATTCATGAAAATTCATGAGGGTAGAAAAGAGGGTAGAAAACGGGGTAGATATACCCTTCTACCCTAAAATATATTTTTCAATACTTTTTCAGCACTTCTCCGTAGTTATATATGAAAGACAATTCGAGATAAAAGTCGTAGTACAATGGAACAATATGTTGCACACCATTTGTTGTGAACCAAACTTGAAAGTCAGAGAAACTGTTACTAGGTGGTTCGGGATGAAATTTCTTCATCTGATATAGTCCTACCAGCATTTGTAAAGATATAGTCTAACGGTTTTGTATCTGCTACTTTTGTTCTTTGTTTTTCAACCTGAAGCATTTAATATATGTAAAAATATACTGTTTTAAAAATGTTTTAAAATGGTATGCCATATAGCTTCTTGAATTTGTTAAGAAGTATATCGAACGTATTTTCCATCTGTATCTCTAGCGTTTACATAAGCATAGCCGCCTTAGTAAAATACGTGTAATTTCCTATAGTTTACGCCGGTATAAAAGTAGAAAGAGTCCTGTTCTTCGCTATAGTAGTAAAACTCAAACGTATGCTTACCATAGTCTGTAATTTCAATTGCTTCATCTTCTAGTTCGTCGACAAATTCGAATACAATATCTCGAAAATTGCTTTTGTTCTTATTGTTTTCAGAACAAGTGACCCAGCGTAAGTTTTCAAGTCTATTGTCGTTTCTTATATGGTTTATATGGTCTACAAAAGGTAGATTGTTAGGGTTCGGTATAAAATGAGTTGCAATGACAACATGTTTAAGATAGTGTTTCCCACCAATCCTCATCCTAGCATATCCGTCATTTTGCTCCCATTCGCTTAAAACTCTTTTTGTCTTTTTGTTTCTGACTTCAAATGACTCACAACAGTGAATTTCATATTTCTCATCTAACAAACAAGTTTCCCAACGGTCTACTCCAACAAACTCAGCGTACATTTCAAATAAAATAAAAAAAATATTTTTTGAAAAATATACTGTTTTCCTTTTACTTTACATAACCTCCTGCTACCAGAAGTCTTTGACGCCAACCCATACCAGCTAATGAAGGTTGACTTGGTTTAGTTTGGAGACTAAACTTTGGTTTTGGTTTATCTTCAGTTTTTGGCTCACCTTCTTCTATCGGTTTTTCGTCACTTTTCGGTTCCTCGGGTTTTACCCACCTGCGGTATGGTTGTGTCGTCAACATCTTCATAAATATCATATGCCATCTGTTTTGTTTTCCTTTCAACTTTTTGTGTTTGTTGTAAAGTTTAGAATATTTCGACTCTAAGTCAATGAGATGTTCTATAATGAACTGTTGGTCCGTGAAGTAAACTTTTCCATCTGTTGTCTCGAAAGCTCCTTCAGACTTCAATATTTTATTTGTGAGAGTCTGTTTCTTTTTTGAGATACTAGCCGTTCCATTTCTATGAAAAGTGACTTTATAGTTAGGGTTTGTATTTCCAGACCTGGCACTTTCTATTATTGAATTTTTCTCTTCATCTGTAAGTTCTTTGACAGGTTTTGACAATGGTTCTGAACTTTTTGTTTGTGGTGTCAAATCTACCGTTTCAACTTCTTCGGTCATTTCATCTCAGTAAAAAATTTTAGTTTGTTTTGTTTTCAACTGGTTGTTTAGGTTTTTTAAGTCGGTCTAAAACTTCCTGAGGTATAGGGAGGACTTGACAAACACGTGGTTGTGTAACTACTGGAAGTCGACAAATCCATCTTGAACCCATTTGTCTCAATGCTGTATTGTTCATTTCATCTCAGTAAAAAACTTTACATTCCCCACGTTTGAGGCGGTTGAGGTTGGTTATTGTTTACCCATTGTTGTGGCATGGTTATATCCTCTGTTAAAGAATCTTTCACCTTGGTCCATATAGTGCCCTGCTTGGTTATAGTAGTCATTTGCTTTGTTATAGTAGTTTCCTGCTTCTCTTCCTACATTGTCCATCCATCCTTGAACTTTTCCTCTTGTTTCAGGATTTGGAATAAGATTTGCTGCATCTCGTGCTACATCCCAACCTTTCTGTACAGTTTGTATAATAGGTTGTGCTTTCTCTTTCAGTATACCTAATGTACTCAAAATCTTCCTTCCAATTCCAAATGCACCTCTGGCTATTGTTCCACTGCGGGTAAAAATCTGGATGCAACTCCTGCTAATGCGCCAAATAAACCCATTTCTTATGGGTTAAAAATGACGAATTCAAACAAGGACCCCTATGTTTCTAAAGCAACAAAGAAAGCACTCATGATAAAAATCTTTAGTTCAACACCAAATGCTTGGTTTATGGATATCTTGGAAAACATTCCGAGGTATAGAGAAGATGGACCACCATACTGGCTAATATTTGTCGGTCAAAACACAAGATACTGTGAAGCCATACCATTACAGTCCAAAAATATTTTAGATGTGAAAACTGCTTTGACAATATTCGTTGACAAATACCATCCAACAAAACTGACATCTGACTGTGAAAGTTCTTTCAAATCAGACGATATTAAAAACTATCTGCGTTCAAAAAATGTAAACCAATATTTCATTGTCGACCAAAACCATTCTGCTCTTGGTGTCATTGACAGTTGTATAAAAATTTAAGAGACTTAAACCAACCACAAGGTGGTGAGGTAGATGAAATGTCATATGACGACAAGTATAGACTTCTCCATGGCAAAGATGAGACAAGTTTTAAATATTTACAATAGCCGTAAACAAAAAGGTTTGGGAAACCACTCCCGAAGAAATGAAAAACAACCCTGACTTAGAGAAAGACTATATATTTAATAGTTTAGTCAAAAGAGACAAACAAGAAAGAATGCCAGGCTTCAAACTTAAGAAAGGTGACAAAGTAAAAATAGAAATACCTAAACGCGACCCATATGAAAATACTATTGACTATGACAACAATGGGAACTCGACAGGTACTCGCATTCGTGTTCGTAAAAATAGAAGAAAGTATACAAGAGAATATTATGAAGTTTTAGGCAAACATGGCAAAATGTACAGACTGCAAGCAGAAGATAAAACTACTATTGTCAGACCTCGTTTCAAACTTGTCAAAGTTCAAGGTGGTATACTTTCAAAGACAGTTCCTAACAAATATAAGACAACTCCTGACGAATATGCTAAAGAAGTGAAAATGACGACTAAGCATTTCTATACCATGCGTAAACTGTCATGTAAGGTGGCATGTAGTCTTTACTTTGTCCCGTTGTTTGTGTATATCCTGAAACGCGATGTGTATGGTTTCCATCTCCCTGTGTGCTACCCCAGAAACAATTTATAGCAAACTTAACGTCGTCTTTAACATCATATCCTTTACCTTTTGTCATTCCTGTCCAATCCCAATATCTATGCTTATGCCAACCTGCTTCAGCTGTAGTTAAATCTATGTAGTGACTGTGTGCAGGTAAATTTTCACCTGAAATCGTTTTACTTCCACCTGTTTCCTTTGAAGAGTTTGCACAATACAAAAACCTGTCGACTATTTGAGTCCAAGTTCCAAAACCAAGTACTACTTCTGGTCTGGTAGAGTTCATTGACGTGTAAATAGAACCTATAGGATATAGTGTTTGAAGTATTTCTGTCTTTAACGTTTGAAGCTCTGTTTTGTCAGCTTTTTTATATAACTTTTCTTCAAGTTCATTTACGTCAGAGATGCTATGTCTATGATATTTTTGTGGGTATGTTCCTTCTGTCCATGCGAAAATACGTTCTTTTGTTGCATCTACATATCCTTTTATCCATGTCGAGTCTGCTTTTGTATTCCTTAACTCTGTAACACCTTTCTCAAGCTCTTTCAACTGTTGTCCATCTTCCATTAAACCTCTGGTATGACTTGAAACCGTTTGTGTCAACATATCTACAGTTTCTTTGTCGGCTTTAAGGTCTAAACATCCTGAAACCCACCCTGTATTGGCTTTACCTTTTAA